AGAGAGAGAGAGAGAGAGAGAGAGAGAGAGAACAACTTACCATCCAACATTATAGGGACATGACTGGCATTCATGATTTCAGACAAATGTTTTTGCCGGCCTATAAGTTTGAACTTGTAACTAATTGCACGCAAAGCATGGACTCTACCTCTGAACAACAATACATCTATATATTTATTTAAAGATTTATAAGGCTGCCCAACTCAGACTGTGTGCCTCTGGGTGGCATACAACATAAACGTACAATCAATCATAAAGAAGAATAAAGACAAAACTATCTAACAACAAACAAATAATACTGAATATGAATATAAAATCTAAAATGGCAACTGAACACACAACAAAACAACCTCAGGGGGGACTCTCATTCAACCACCCCTAATGCCTAGGGGAAGAGCCAGTCTTAAGGGTTTTCCTAAAGGCAAGAAGAGTTGGGGCCTATCATATGTGGGGGTGGGGGGAGATCATTCCAGAAAGCAGGGGCAACCACAGAAAAAGCATCCTTCCTAGGACCCATAAGTTGACAAGACTTAAAAGAAGAAATTTGGAGTATGCCCTCTCTGTGGGAACATGTGGGGTGGGAAGATAATCTTGGGTAATGGCAGTCCCTCAGGTAACCCATTCCTACGACATGTAAACATTTCCAGATTTTTTTTTTTATTAGTAATCCTTTACAAATCTAAATTCAATTAAGGAACATATAGTATGTTATATACCATTCACAAAATTATTATGTTTGTTACATTAAATTTTAAAGGATGATTAACTTGAATGTAAAAGTATGGAGTGATATTTGATTTTGCCAGAAAATATTACAGTGGCAAATACTGTTATAATTACCCCAGGTTATATATGCATATTTGATTTTGCCAGAAAATATTACAGTGACAAATACTGTTATAATTACACCAGGTTATAAAATCTGCTAATGTAGCTAAGCCAAGATTTAATATATTACATTCTGAACCCTTACTTTCAATAAAGAAAGCTACATTATGTACATAATGTATGAGTGTTTTCCCTAAGAACTTTTCTGATTTGATGAAGGTCCAGGCCCAAAAGAAAGAAGTTTTTTTTCTCCTATTTCAAAATGGAGTATTCTCCCCCTTATGCATAATGATTCTCACCAAATCATAATGCATAGTGTTAAATTACTTTGGCACCAGGAGACAGAAAATTCCACAACATAAAAAGACAACATTAAATAATTTCATGGTGCCCCATATTTACTGCCTTTGAGGGTTATCTAATGTTCCTAGTTAAAAAAAGAAACTCCAGATAAAACTAAAAAATGCATAAATAAACTTTGTTATCATATGGCTGTCCTTTTTTCTTCAGCTTTTTCTGCAATAAAGGGTGGCTCTATTGCCATACCATAGAAGTTCTGTAACTCAGCTATGGCTCCCTTGGGAGGCTCAGCAGAGTGGTGACAGGACTAACCCTTTTTGTCTCAGTCCTTGCAAATTATTTTTTCTTAAATGCTTTCTCAACTCGGCTTGACAACATTACCTCTCTTTGGTACAAGAATCAGTAGCTACACAGCCTGTAAACAGCAGAATCTAGGTTTCATAAACAAGCAGTGTTGTTTGTCCCAACCAAATAAACAGTTAAAATGGAAAATACTTGCTTTTTACATTTAGAAAGAAATTCCTCTATGAAATGCACTATCCTTCTCTGTTTCAGAGACATTACAACACTTAAATGTTGAGTTATTTTTTCCATATACCATTTCTTTCTTATATTGTCTGAGTTCATCAGACCTTTCCCTCTGTCCTTTCCTACCAGAAGTGAATTAGCCTTTTTTCTCCTCTGGAGAAGTATCTTTTGGCTACTTTGTAAATATTCCACTGCCCAAGGGCCAATTCCCCCTTCCAAATGTCTCAACCTTCTAGACTGACCCCAGTCCACCAAGGTGTTAACACTTCCAGCCCCACAGCTTGCTTACAAAAATTCCATATCACAGCAATGTAACTTTTTTCAAGCAGTTCTTCACAATCATGTTTTTCTCTTTCTCCTTATCTCT